CAGCCTTACAGAGATTTTTTATTATTTAAGACCCAGTCATGCATACTAAAATTACATGTTTTCACCATTTTGACTTAGAAAATGCACTAGAAAAATAAACTTTTGGTCAAAACAAACACTGAAGTAGATGAATCCACCACCACGTGTCCCTATACTTGAAGCCAAACTGAATTTCAGTTTGAAGTGAGGAAGGCAACCAGTGGCCGAAATGATGCACATTAGTCCATCTGGTCACAATTAGTCCATCTCTAACCCCTTCAGAGTCATTGAGAGAGGCTCTTGGCCCCAGAGAAGTTTCAAGTAGTTTACTTGTAACAGGTTCCCACCTGAGGTCAAGGCATATCCACAAGAATCCCAGTGGATGGCAGCTACTTAACTGCCCAACTAAACATGGTGCCCAGTGAGATGAAAGGACAAGTGGCTAATTGGCAAAGAGCAGAACGGTCACTAGCAAGGCCATTCACAAATCACCCTGGGCCTTCGCATGGAGCAAGCACTATGAAGGAAGAATATAACTCTGACATTATTTATTACTTGCATTTCAAGCCATTTCTGCATCAGGAGAGCAGAAGGGAATTTATTCGAGGTTTACAAAACTCACAGACCTCAGTACTGAAAAGTGTGACTTTTCAGATGTCCAGTGTGACTAGACATCTTTCCTGAACAGTTGCTATGTTTTCTGTTTGCGATCTCCACGACTGTCATGCCACAGGACAGCCAAACATCATTAGCTTAGCAGACATTTTACTTGCTAAATGAAAGAAGTGGTTTCAAAGGAAAACCTTAAAATGAGGTATTATGATAACGCCACAACAGTACCATAGCTTTTGGCTACCCAAATGAAAAAGCGACCCCATAACTGATCTGAGAATCAGATGGCATTTAAAGTAACTGCCCACCCATGGAGATTTCTGAAAGACTCAACATCTCACAGGAATTCAGGGAAAATATCTCTTATTACCCTGACTCTCTTTCTGGTAAAAATGTAGTATCTTGTGAACTGAAGTGTTTGTAAAAGCTCTAAGGATAGGCTCGTGACATTGAGCAATGTCAGGTTTGTGATACTGTACAGGAGGCATGATCAAGACCATCCCCAAGAAAAAAATGCAAAAAGGCAAAATGGTTTGTCTGAGGAGGCCTTACAAATAGCTGAGAAAAGAAGAGAAGCTAAAGACAAAGGAGAAAAGGAAAGATACACCCATTTGAATGCAGAGCTCCAAAGAACAGCAAGGAGAGATAAGAAAGCCTTCCTCAGTGATCAATGCAAAGAAATAAGAGGAAACAACAGAATGGGAAAGACTAGAGATCTCTTCAAGAAAATTAGAGATACCAAGGGAACATTTCATGCAGTGATGGGCACAATAAAGGACAGAAATGGTATGGACCTAACAGAAGCAGAAGATATTAACCGGTGGCAAGAATACACAGGAGAAATATACAAAAAAGATCTTCATGAGCCAGATAACTACGATGGTGTGATCACTCACCTAGAGCCAGACATCCTGGAATGTGAAGTCAAGTGGGCCTTAGGAAGCATCACTATGAACAAAGCTAGTGGAGGTGATGGAATTCCAGTTGAGCTATTTCAAATCCTGAAAGATGATGCTGTGAAAGTACTGCACTCAATATGCCAGCAAATTTGGAAAACTCAGCAGTGGCCACAGGACTGGAAGAGGTCTGTTTTCATTCTAATCCCAAAGAAAGGCAATGTCAAAGAAGGTTTAAACTACCACACAATTGCACTCATCTCACACATTAGCAAAGTAAAGCTCAAAATTCTCCAAGCCAGACTTCAAAGTATGTGAATCATGAACTTCCAGATGTTCAAGCTAGATTTAGAAAAGGCAGAGGAACCCGAGATCAAATTGCCAACACCCGCTGGATCATTGAAAAAGCAAGAGAGTTCCAGAAAAACATCTACTTCTGCTTTATTGACTACGCCAAAGCCTTTGACTGTGTGGACCACAAGAAACTGTGGAAAATTCTTAAAGAGATGAGAATACCAGACCACCTTACCTGCCTCCTGAGAAATCTGTATGTAGGTCAAGAAGCAATAGTTAGAACTGGACATGGAACAACAGACTGGTTCCAAATCGGGAAAGGAGTACATCAAGGTTGTATATTGTCACCCTGCTTATTTAACTTATATGCAGAGTACATCATGTGAAATGCTGGGCTGTATGAACAGAAGCTGGAATCAAGATTGCCGGGAGAAATAATAGCCTCAGATATGCAGATGACACCACCCTTATGGCAGAAAGCGAAAAAGAACTAAAGTGCCTCTTGATGAAAGTGAAAGAGGAGAATGAAAAAGTTGGCTTAAAACTCAACATTCAGAAAACTAAGATCATGGTATCCAGTGCCATCACTTCGTGGCAAACAGATGGGGAAACAATGGAGAGAGACTTTATTTGGGCTCCAAAATCACTGCAGATGGTGATTGCAGCCATGAAATTAAAAGACATTTGCTCCTTGGAAGAAAAGCTATGACCAACCTAGACAGCATATTAAAAAGCAGAGACATTACTCTGCCAACAAAGGTCTGTCTAGCCAAAGCTATGGTTTTTCCATATGTATGGATATGAGAGTTGGACTCTAAAGAAAGCTGAGCACCAAAGAATTGATGCTTTTGTTTTTGTGGTGTTGGAGAAGACTCTTGAGAGTCCCTTGGACTGCAAGGAGATCAAACCAGCCAATCATAAAGGAAATCAGTCCTGAATATTCATTGGAAGGACTGATGCTGAAATTGAAACTCCAATACTTCGGCCACCTGATGTGAAGAACTGACTCCTTGGAAAAGACCCCGATGCTGGGAAAGAATGAAGGCGGGAGAAGGGGACAACAGAGGATGAGATGGTTGGATGGCATCACTGACGCAATGGACATGAGTTTGAGCAAGCTTCGGGAGTTGGTGAAGGACAGGGAAGCCTGGTGTGCTGCAGTCCATGGGGTCATAAACAGTCTGACACGACTGAGCAACTGAACTGACTGAAGGACAGGCTGCTCCCTGTGAAAGCAGGGTGAAGTACTAGGGAGCTGAGGCCACCTTTGCCGACAGAAAATAGGAAACTCAAGAGAGGAGGCCAGGGTTGTTGCACTTTTGGCTATTTCTGTAGATTACTCCCAGCCTCTGGCCGTGAAAGAACAGAATTCCAGGAAGAAGCACAATTTTCCAGAATTCTGTATAGAAGAGGAGGAAGAACTCCCCCAACCCATTACCTAAGCTGACAGACTCATTTGGAAGTGTTAGGTGTCAGTTCATTCAGACCTAAACTGCCTAAAGGGTCATTCAGATGGCGGGGGTGGGGGTGGGCAGGGAAGAACAAATCCTCTGATGCCAGAAACAGAGGGTTCAGGGCTCCCAAGTGTAGACACCCTTTATCATAGGACCATTCAGGGATGTTCAGCAGCTGACCAAGGCCAAGTGGCAAAGTAAAGCTGGAACTTGGGTCTCCTGGTTTACTATTTCTTTCCCTTGCCTACAGCACACAGCCCTGAATTGCAGGAAACGTTCATCTTCAGGTGTCTGAAATGAATCAGAACTTTCCCCTTAAAGAATACGCTCAGTTCTCCTGGCGTTCAGTTACTTGCTCTGTCACTGTGCCCCCACTGCCGAGTAAAACTCCCGGGGTGCCCCTGTGGTCACTCCCCTGCCCTGCTGAGGCAGCCGCAGACAGAAGCCAGGCAGAGACAGCCACGGTTTCCACCCAAGGAGGTCCCGCTTTCACAGCGTGGAGCAAGCCTCCTGAGGTGCCAGTACCACTTGCTCTCCCTGGAGCCAGCATAAAACACAGCAGCTCCAGAAGGCAGACAGCCCTTGGCTCTGACTCCTTGCGGAAGCTGAGTGAAACAGCTCCCTGATCTAACTGGGAAGGTCTGGGAAATGGGCAACACCCTTCCTGGTCTTTGAGAAATTTCTGGAGGTGAGCTTGGCCATCCCCACATTAAGACACGTGGACAAAGGCAGCTTGCCAGGAATGCAATGCCAGTTCAAACCTTGGAAACTTGGTGGGCCTGATTCACGTCTAACTTTTCTGTTGTGTTTTTTAATCTCTGTCCTCTTTGGGACCTAAGAAAACCTCTCACCAATTCTCCCAGGCAGTTGGGTTCTGAACATATTACTATAGCCATCTCACTTGTCCCATTTAGACCTTTCCAGCAATGGCAGTCACACCATCACTGTCATGGCATTGTCTAGATGGGACCAGAGGCAGCCAGGGGTGTGTATTTTGACACCTTCCACCCAGCCAGGTCCTTAGAGCATCCAAGGTTAGTATCTATGGTGAAAACAGTTCTTCCTAGAATTGGCACGAATGAGGTAAGTCACTTCCACCAACAACTTCTCCAGACATTTAAAAAAGTGCTACAGAGAGAAACAGCTTATGAACAACTGATTGGCCTTGACATTTCAGAGGACTGTTCTAGTCCTAACTGAGTCATTCAGGTTGCCTGCTGCTGCTCTAACAAATGCACAGAGAAGGTAACACACACAATGCGTGGTACCTGTCACTTTTTAACACCACAATTTGCATGGAATGAATGAAAGGAAATAGGTCAAAAGCCATCAGATGAACCACCTAATTTGATGCTTGGCCTAAGGCTAAGTTCTTGACAGGAAGGGTCTAAAGTGCTAAAATGCAGAATTAACATTCAGTCTGGCTGGACACAAGAGATAGAAACTCAAGTGTGTTGTGGTGAGGGTGGCCCAGAATAACTTGCCCTTATTTCCAGAGGCCAAATTTTAAAAATGCCAATTAATTTATCCCTTTACCTCGCCAAGTTTAAAATATAAGCCAGAGTCTTAGAGATGGAAGGAATTCATCCAAGATCATGGGCATCTCATCTGCCTTCACAAAGGCCATCATTTTCAAGTTCAACCCTCCCTGTGAAAGGAAAACGAGTATTGCTGAATCCACTCATTTCTTTAAAGACAGGACCAAAACAATGACGCATCCCTCTTGGGAAGGCCTATGCATACCACAAAAATACAGAATCCAACCACTGGTATCTAGAGAGTGCTCTTTCTAGGCAGAAAACCAATGTCTAACATTCAATAAATAACCAAATCACAGAGGCCCATTAGTAGACAAAAGGGCCCTCAGCATCACTTCATTCAGCCTCATTTTACGGATGAGAAGGCTGGAGGCCCACAGAGGCTCGTGTGTCCACAGAAACACATCTAAGGTTGGGGCGCAGGTCTCATAATTCTTAGGCCAGAATTCTTTTAGCTACACAGGACTGGCATCCAGGCTTCTTGGGTGAATAAAATCACGTGCGTCTAGGATCATGTATGATTCTTTTGAGAACCAGGACTAAGGCTTTATGGGTTTGGGAAAACTTTAAGGTTCTATTGCAAGATTCAGCCCATGAACCCCAGAGGTACATAAGGTCCCTGGTTCCCGAGTTTGATCAGGAGGTGCTGCTTCTGTCTTCTTGCATGATTCAGTGAAGGTGCTTTCCAGACCCAGTGATGGACCTCAGACTTTCAAGCTGAGAGGTCTGTAGTCTGTCTTTGAAGACAATCTCATCATCTCACATGTGGCTACCTGGCAGGCTCGGCCAAACTGTCTCACAGGAGTGCACTGCCCGGCCAAATCAGGGTTTTCTCCTGGAATGTGGGATCAAAGTGACGTTGGTCCTGATTTTTCTTGCTTTGAGCTCTGTAAGAATCAGATACGGCTTCCTCATTCGTGGCTGCACGCTGGGATTGCAAATGTTTCAGAATTGCTGGGGGCCTTTCTCCATGTCTTCCACAGAGTCGTTCAAGCCACGCAAGCCTCACCCTGTGGCTCAGAGCTCTCCAGGCTTTGCCTCCATGCTGCAGTTCTGTTCCAAGGAGCAAGACAATCCCTGGCACCTCGAACCCTCCTTGGGCCTCTCCGAAGAAAAGAAGGAAAGCTTGTAAAGATGGTGCCGTTCGCGGGGGACTGGCTAGTAGCAGGAGTATAGCTGTGATTTCACAGCCCGCATGGAGTCATCACAGGGCACCTCTGAGCTCAGCCCCTCGGGTGGCAGGGCCTGGCCCAGGATGCTGTCACAGGGAGGGCCGGGCTGGCAGAACTCCCTCACGAAGTCCTCCTCCGAGGCCAGCAGCACCGCGTTCCAGGCGGTGATGTCCAGCTCTCCAGCCGTGCCCCCGTATTCCCTGGGGAGGATGTTTCTTGGAAGGTTTGTGTGGAGAGAGTTCAGGTCAGACCCGTGAAGGAAAAACTACAGAGAATGACAGGAAAGCACACAGGTCCTTGGGTTAATCAGTAACCTTTACTGGGAGGCGCTCAACCACACATCTGCTGAATGAATAAAGGAACGCTTGATGCCAACTCTGCTCTACTAGTGCCACGAAAAGCTTGAGAATCCTTCATCCTCTTTTCCTTGTATCCTGTATCCTCTTAGCTGGTACTTCAAAATATGTCCAGAATTCTGACACTTCCCTGCTACCCTAGTGGGACCAGGTCATCATCCCTTCTTACCTGGATTCTCAGAGCATCTTCCTCGGCTCTTTGCTTACGCCCTCGCCTTGTCCCACCACAACCTAAGCGCTCTTCAACATAAGTCAGATCAAGTCACTCCTCTAAAACGTGCAGACTTCCAGTGCACCCATCTCACGCAGACTAAACGCCACAGTCCACATGATGGCCCGCACGGTCTGGGCTCTGCTCTTACACCTTTGCCTCCCATTCCTCCCACACCCCCCTGCTGCTCCCCCAGGCCTGCTTCCCCCTCTCCCCGCCCCACTCAGAGTCCCCCAGATCCCTGTAAGGCTCACTCCCTCATTGCATTCATGTCTTCGCTCAAATGCCAACTTCTCAATGACACCACCTCTGATCATCCCACAGAATACTACCACTCCTTTCCTTCTTGCAGAACCTGCTGTCTCCTTTCTCTGCTTTATTTTTCTCCATAGCATTAGCACTAGATAACAGACATAACTCACTGTCTGTCTCTCTAGAATGTAACCTCTTTAGGGGCAGAGATTTTTGTCTGTTTTATTCATTGAGAACATACCTGCACAAAGCTGATCAAAAAATATTTCTGAGTCAATGAATTAACATACGATGGACCAAGTGAACAGATTATTGAACATTAGTAAGGTCATTTCATAGATGTAAAAGACCTTGTCCAAAGACTGCTTTGGTACAAGCAGGTTCCAAACAGTAGCTCCAGGAAGAAACATGGGTTCAAACCCAGGGTGGGAGGCCACACTGAGAGGTCCTCAATCTTAACTGCATCAGAATCACCTAAGGAAGTCTTAAAAGCACAGGTTCCTGGGCTCTACCCCTGAACCGATGAGTTAAAATCTTTGGGGAAAGGGCCTGGTAATCCGGATTTCAAGTTCCCTCCCTCACAAATGAGATTCTACATTTCCTCTTTGAAAGAAAGAACAAAATTGAAGAGTATGTGAATAACCATAACCATTTTCCTAGGCCTAAGAAAGAAGGAGAAAAATACCACCCATCATATTTTAATCATGGTCCTTGGAAAGTTTAAAAGATCACTGGCTCTTCAGGGTCAGAAGAAGACTGTCTTTTTTTTTTTTTTTTTTTTTTGGCTGCAGCTTGAGGCTTGCAGAATCTTAGCTCCCCAACCAGGGATTGAACCCAGGTCCCCTGGAGTGAAAGCTCAGAGTCCTAATTCCTCGACCACCAGGAAAGTACCAAGACTGTCTTTTTAAAGTGTCACCTATCTTTTCTAACATAAAAATTAAACTATAAACTCACAGATCTCCTTGAACTGCTCCACAAACTTCACACAATAAGACAACAAATTAAGTAAATGGAAAGGCTTAAACAATTTAAGCTATAGGGACTTCTCTATAGCTCGGATGGTAAAGAATCTGCCTGCAATGCAGGAGACCTGGGTTCGAGCCCTGGGTCTGTAATATCCCCTGGAGAAGGCAATGGCTACCCACTCCAGTATTCTTGCCTGGAGAATCCCATGGATAGAGGAACCTGGCGGGCTACAGTCCACAGAGTTGCAGAGAGTCGGACAAGACTGAGCCACTAGCACACAAACAAAAATTTTAAAGCACAAGGAGCTGCAGTAAGAAATTGCCAGAACTCTTTTTAACTCCCCACCCAATGACCACCCTTTGCTACATCCTCCATAAAATGGGCTTCCCTGGTGGCTCAGAGGGTAAAGTGTCTGCCTGCAAGGTGGGAGGCTTCGGTTCGATCCCTGGGTCAGGAAGATCCCCTGGAGAAGAAAATGGCAACCCACTCCAGTATTCTTGCCTGGAGAATCCCGTGGATGGAGGAGTCTGGTAGGCTACAGCCCTTGGGGTCCCAAAGAGTCGGACACCACTGAGCGATTTCATTTTCACTTTCATACATAAGATATGATGTTAGTTCACAATGCCCAGGCCAGGATATTAAAAAGCCTAAATGATCACAGAGCAGAGATGCTCCTACAAAAACAACCCTGGGTCTGCTCTCTCTACAGTCAAGTATTATCTTCCCATTAATTTCATCTTCCCTTCACAGAAAAGATTGTTTATCTGTTTTATCTGAAACCCTGCACTTTCCAACTCAGTAGTCCCAGGCAAGAAAAATAAACTGGGCTTCTCCGGTGGTCTAGTGGTTAAGAATCTGCCTGCCAATGCAGAGGCCACGGGCTCAATCCCTGACCCGGGAAGATCCCACGTGCCGTGGAGCAACTAAGTGCGCCCCAACTACAGAACCAGCACTCCAGAGCCCAGGAGCCACAGCTACGGAGCCCACGTGCGTCGAGCCTGTGCTCTGCAACAAGACAAGCCACTGCAATGAGAAGACCATGCACAGCAATGAAGACCCAGTGAAACAAAAAATAATAAATATGTAAATCTTTAAAAAGAAAAAAAAATAAGCTAAGTTTATAGTTGTTGCAATGAATTTAGAGATGTCACAGAAAAGGAAGCATAAAAAAAATGAAAGTATCTTTAAGTTGATAGGATCATCACTTACTCTGTTTGCTATCTTCTCCTTCAGGAATGGTTTTATGATGGCAAAAATACCTTTAAATATTCGAGGTTCATTCACTACATGGACTGCTTTTATCCGAATGGGGAAACCGTCCTGTGGGGGAAGGGAAGGGAATGTTAGAATCCCGATGTTAGAATCTGAAAACCGTCAGTTACCACAGCCTGCCTTCCCCATTTTTAGCCCCAACATCAGTCTGGTCTGATTCTCCTGGTCTCTTCAAAGACAGCCCAAGTCAGGGCTAGACAGGAAGGTGGGTCTCAGGCAAAGAGTCTGTCTAAGGACCCAGAGCTGGTTTAGGAAATGGTTAGGCAAGCAGGTGGAGAGCTACCCTTCTTAGGCCAAAAAAGCAGTCTGAGCCTGTGTGGACGGATCTAACAAATATCAGGCCTTTTAGATCAGTATTACCCAACGTGTATTTCTCAGGTTGTTACTAGCCTGTGATGCAAAAAGGGTTCTGTGGTAAGCAACTGAGTCTGAGAAACAGTAGACTAAATACAGTCAAACAGGTTTCCTTAACTGCAGGACCAGTCAGGCTTTCAGTATGCAAATATTTATGTTGAAATTCACACGAAAGAGGGCATGCTATGCTGTATTTCCCAAACACACTTAACCCTGGAACATTTTTTGTCCCCCAGACCATGTTAAAGGACTAGAGAACCACTGATTGAACGCATTATCCTGACACTTGAATCTGCACAATATCTGGCAGAAATAAAGAAGAGTGGAAGCTAAGGGAAGCCTGAGTATTACCTCCATGCCAGAATTCACATTTCTGATAATGACTGGAAGTGGCATTTAAATGTTTAAATAATCAGCCTGGTATGCAGGAGAGGTTCAAACACTGTGGAATTTGATGGGGGAGAATCATGGGATCACTGGTGCCCCCAGCTCACAGGAGCCAGCACCCCATTGACTGGGTCTGATGAACGAGGGTCCAGGCTGCCAGACTACATCCTGAAGGTATCCACTTCTATCAACAAGGGAAGATAATTCTTACCTTGTCTATCTCAGAGGATTCTCTGAAGGACTGAATGGCTTACCATGACTGTAAGTGTGCTTTGCAGCAACAAGGATATATTGGACAGCACAGGGAAGTATAGCTGTTATTTTGTAATAACTTTTAATGGCATATAATCTATAAAAATACTGAGTCATTCTGCTGTACACCTTAAACTAACATAAACTGTAAATCAACTATATACTTCAATTAAAAAAAACAAGCACTTTGCATGTGCAAACCATCTCACACACTGCGGATGCATGAGGAACTTTATGGTTCCCAGAGACTTGTGTTCTGAAATGCACAACATGAGGTGTGAAAAGCATCTGACCAAAACAGCCCAGCAGGGCTCCCTGTGCCCAGGTTCTACAGAAAAAACGAGAGGATCCATCACCTCAGCAGAAACGTCTCAGTTTCATTTGTCGAGAATTTCTCTGTCTTCTGGGCCAAAAAAAACCCCAAACAAAAAAAGCAGAAAGCATTTCTCTGGTTTTTGGGCTCCTGTCCTAAAGTTGATTTTGCCCAGTAATTACTGGAGACCTTGATGAGAATGAGTGGTGAACTGGACTTTTACATTTCTTCCCATAGTGCTTTTGTATTGTCCTGACTGTGGGGAGGCGTGGGAGGTGGGGTTTGTGTATTAGGTGGAATTGGAGATAGACAGGGCCCTGGGAAAGACAAACAGCCACAGGACAGGCACATGACACATAGGAGCCATACCTGAAGGATGCCAATCACCTTTTTGGCTATAAAAGGGCCAAAATGAGATGCCTTTGATAAGCTCACTCCTTTGTAGTCTGCAAGAATTACAATTCCATTCACCTGGGTTTCTTCAGACTGAATGAGTTTCTCTAATGTCAGGTATACGGCTCGGATGTTTTCTGTAATTGGATAGTTGCTTGGGATCCACCTGTCTAAGGTCGTAAAAGATGGACAGTATGTTATAGAAATGAATACAAACACGTAATCAGACAGGCTAGGATTTATCTCCTTCCTAAACCATTGCTTAAAAGTGGGAAAGAATTCTACTGGCACGACTATTTAGATCTTTAAGTGGGAGCTGATGCTTCTTGACTCCAAACATAGCAGCACATTCTGAAATGGAAAAGCAATTGAGTGTTAAAGATGAAATCATGAGCTCTGAAGTCAGACACACCTGGGGGTTTGAATCTTCCTAGCTGTGTGACCTTAGGAAAATTTTCTCCTCAATCTGGGCCTACGTCTCCTCCTAAGTAGAATGGGATGATAATGCTTGCCTTAATGGACATATGCGCCTTCTGCCAACATAAGTGCCCTTATCTTCGTAAGACCACCCTCATCTTCCTTGGGGGGAATCACTTCTTCCCATGCTAGCCATACTGAGTGTGTAAAGTGACTTCACTCCTGGGTCCAGAGGTGGGCTTGGCCAGTGTGGGCATAGCATCCTCCTGGCCACAGTGAGTAATCCAAGTGAGGCCAAGCAGAAGAGCAGGGACTCAATTCTGGGACCTGGGCCCTTTGGAAAGAGAAGATCTCTCTTCTCTCTTGTGGGTGAGGCTGGGAGCCTGAGACCCAGGGACCCATGAGGCAAGAGCTAGTCAGAGGATGAAGCCCAGACCAAGACAGCAGAGACGGAGATGGTTTCCCAATGGTGTAGCTTGAACAAACTCCCCTTTCCAGGCTGGTTGCTCCCTTAATGCTCCCCATATGATTGAGGAGTCTTTTTCTCTTTGGGGAAAAGATGAGAATGACAACTTTTGAGTTCTAACTACTATTCTCAAGAAAATCCCACCAAGATATGTGTGTCTCTTTCTTAGAAAGATAAAACTCCACTGGATGGTCCCCAATGAGATTTGTGACATGTGCAAAATTTCTATACAAAAAAAACCTTTGTCCAAAAATTGTGCCAGCTTGCTGTTTGGTAGTGCTGCCAATTAAACCTGCTTTTGCATGCTGGCTATCATCCTTTTCAATCACATATGTCTCAAAAGAACTTACAAAAAGGCAAACCTGACACCTTCCAGATTTATTTCACACTGAAGTGAAGTGAAAGTCGTTCAGTCGTGTCTGACTCTTTGCGACCCCATGAACTATACAATCCATGGAATTCTCCAGGCCAGAATACTGCAGTGGATAGCGGTTCCCTTCTCCAGGGGATCTTCCCAACCTAGGGATCGAACCCAGGTCTCCCACATTGCAGGCAGATTCTTTACCAGCTGAGCCACCAGAGGAGCTAGCTGAGAATAAAATCTGTCTGCCTCCTGCTAAAATGTTGAGTTGGTGGGGAGGTGTTCAAATCTGCTCCAGATATATGGGGGGCGGAAATCCATCTCAGGAGCTAAGAGTTGAAACCATGCAAGCAAAGAGGCGAAACCAGTGTGGTAACATCTGACTGTTCTGTAATATTCATATGAGTTGAGTACAGAGGAGCAGCAGAACTCCCATTGGCTGGTTTCTAGGTTTCCTTGTGCCCTGACCTCTCCACCACATTGTTTATTGTAAAATGCATGCACGCATGCTCTGTTGCTCAGCTGTGTCCAGTTCTTTGCAACCCATGGACAGCAGCTTGCCAGGCTTCTCTGTTCATGGAATTTTCCAGAAGAGAATACTGGATTGGATTGCCGTTTCCTCCTCCAGGGGATCTTCCCAACCCAGGGGTGGAACCTGTGTCTCCTGCATTGGCAGGCAGATTCTTTACCACTGAGTCACCTGGGAAGCCCTGTTTTAATATGAATACCCCCTAATTTTGGAAAACACGTAAAACAGCAGGTAAAACAGTTCATACTGTGCCTGGTATGTAGTAAAGGCTCACGAGAATATGGCTGGTATCCCAACAAGCTTTGGTAAATGACTAAAGGAAATGGTAATGTGGGGTCTCAAGGCAGAGGGAGGCTTCCACTCCCCATCAGCTGTCCCTTCAAGAAGTATTTGCACAGGAGCAGAAAGGGTGGCCAGCAGGTTCTCATGTTCCTGGCATGTTTGGGAAGAAGAACAGAGCCATCTTACTTTCACATTTGTTCTCAGCTTGGCCCTGACGGAAAATATTGAGGCAGGGGGAAGAGCAGAGAACTCTCCCGAGTGTACTATGTATTTAGGGTCAGGGAAGAAGGAGAAGAAGACGGAGAATCAGAATGCTTGAGTTCTAGGACCCCTCGGTCTCTGTGTTAACCGAAGTCTTCTCTCACATTTCTGATACTTTGGTGGGAGAGGGAGCAGGGAGAAAACTACCCCCACTGCAAACTTCTGCATCAAGGAAATGTCAGGCATTTCACTTACCATCATGCACTGCTGAGATGGAAAAGTGCATCTGAAGTGAAGCTTTTCACTGACTTCAAAAAGCAGAGGGGAGGGGGGAGAAGTCAGAGGAGGCAGGCAGACACTGATATCTGTACCTCACCTGCTCCCTAAGGGCTGACAGGGTGGGGGCGGGGGTGTCCCGGCAGCCCTGCTCAGACCCGAGGATCAGGGTTGCTTTCTCAGCTCACCTGATTCCAAACCCTAGAAATCTGGAATCTGCAGTGAAGGAACGTAGTTGGGCGGCCAGCTAAACCTGGGAGCTGAGGGGTGTAGAGAGGGGCCAAAAGCCGGTACTCGGACTGAAAGCTGAGGTGTGCAAAGGGCAGCAGGAAACGTGGCACTGAGGGACGCACAGGCTGGCAGAGGCAGAGGCAGGGAGAACGGTGGTCTCGGCTCGTGCGGTCTCAGGACGCATGCTGGCTCTAGCTCCTGGGGCGGGCGAGCACCGCGCTCCCTCAGCTCTCTGCTGCCGTGCTCCCGGCTCCTCAGACTACATCCTCCCTTCGTCTTACGTCAGTAGAGCAGGGTTCTGTTCTCCTGCCGTCAAAAGAGCCTTGACTGAGGCCAGGAGGGGACAAAAGGGAATAAGACACAGGCGCGCACAGACACACACACAGCGCCCTGGGCAGGGGCATCCCACACTGTACCCACACCCATCCCTCCCGCGCCCCCGCAGGGAGCGGTACCTGGGCGGAGGCAGAGGACGGGGCAGCCCCTGGGGTCGGTGTGCGGCAGGACGGTGAGGAAGCCGGAGGCCAGGACCTCCTTCAAGGCAGAAGGCCGCAGGTCGTTGAAGACTTCGGGCCAGCTTCTCCGGCAGCTGTGGTAGTTGATGAGCAGCTGGAGGGCCCGGTCGTAATCAAACTTGCGGGCGCGGAGGAAGCGCAGCAGGAAGGCGTCCTCTAGCGAGGTGCTCAAGTGGGGGCACTCCTTGCGCACCATGTCCCGCAGGGCCTGCACGTCGCGGAGCCTCCATTCCGGCTTCTCCTGCAGCTCCTCCCTGGCTTTGGCCACCAGCTCCTCGGTCAGCGAGCAAACATAGCCGGCGGGGGCGGAAGGCGGCGGCAGCTCATTTTCCGAAAGCGAGGCCGCGGAAGGGCTGGTTCTCAGCGAGTCACTTTCTTCTGACATGAGCTCCCAGGATCCCTGCGAAACAGAAGCCCTGCGTGATGCCCAGAAAGCCCGGCACTGGCATCGGTCACTCCAAACCCCTGATGGGCGTGAGGGAGGGGGGCAGCGATGCTGTTGTCAAGCCAAAACAATCAGAGCAGTGGTTCTCTCCTGGAGGAGTATCTGAACCACAGTCCAGCCCAGCCCAGCCCCGGGGCAGCTCCAGCAGGATACACACACCCCTCATCACACACACAGACTTTGCTCCAGCACCCCTCAACACACACACACACGCGCACACACACCTTGCTCCAGCAGGATACACGCACCTATCACACACACACACCCCCCTTGATCACAGAGGTGTGATCATCACATACACACACCCCTTGCTCACAGAGGTATGATCACACACACATACCTTGCTCAGAGGTGTGATCATCACACACACACATCTTGCTCACAGAGGTATGAACAGGTGCTTGACCTTACTGGTAATTAAAGAAATGGAAACTAAAACCCCTTTGAATCTCAGATTAGCAAAAATACAAAACAGGGATTCTGATGGGCCTGTTGTTTGTGGGAGAATAAATTGGCATAGCCTCTCTAGGGCAGTGTGTCAATAGTTATCAAGATTCCAAACCACATCCCTTACAGATGTCATATGGTTTCATTTACATGTGGAATCTAAAAAAAAGGGACACAGATGAACTTATTTACAAAACAGAAATATACTCACAGAGATAGAAAACCAGCTTATGGTTACCAAAGGGGGAAAGACAGGAGGGATAAATGAGGAATCTGTCATTAAGAGATACACACTGCTATATGTAAGACAGATAATCAACAAGGACTACACAGACTGTATTCAGTATAATACCCTGTACTGGAAAAGAATCTGAAAAATAGATACATATGCATAACTGTATCACTCTGCTATATACCTGAAACATTATAAATTGACTATACTTTGATTTAAAAAAATATATGCTTTGGCTCAGCATTCCATTTCTATGTACTTATATGTGTGTGTAAAATATGGATGATCATTACAAGTATTAACTGCAATGGCAAAAGACTGAAAATACTTTACCTCCATCCTCTTGTTGGAGACTAGTTAAATAATATTACCATATGCACAGAATACTATTTAGTAATGAAAAGGAATTAAATAGATCTTTATGAATTGACATGTTAAGGAAAAAAAACAGGTTGCAGGACAGTGTGAGAAAAAAGACTTGTATTTATATTTAAAAAATACATGTGAATGCACCTAAAATTTTTGGAAGAAAGTACAAGAAAACTGTTAACCATGGTTCCCTTTAAGGAACAGAACCAGACACTGAACATTTAAGAGGAGAAAAGGAGATTCTTCACTGCCCTCTTAAATTTTTTACCATACCCACACATGACTTAGCATGGCGGCTGTGAAACTGATCAGATCTCCTGCGGGGGTGGAACGTAACTGATGGGTGTCCCAGCTGCTGTCCCTCTGGATCCACCACCTAGTGGATGTACACTTTCCAGACTGAACCCAGCCAATGACTGAGTGAAACGTAGGACTCTCAAACAGGCAACTTAACCTTGAGGATCCCCTATCAGCCTGGCCAGATCTTTACTGCAGTCCAAGACTTCTTGCCCAAACCTCCTGCACAGGGACCAGGCTCACATAGCTGTCTGAAGCTCTCCCTGATTTCTCCAATTGCCTCTCCCTTTTATGTGTTGCCACCATGAAATTTCTTCCATCTGTATTCTCACCCTAGTGTCTGCTTCTTAGAAAAGCTGAACTAACACACTTATTAAATGGAAAAAAACCCCAAAACAACATAGCTGCCTTAGATATTCCAGGAATAAGGTCCCAGCAAGGCTGCCCAATTCTGAAGCCCAAGCTCTTCTGTCCATGGGCTCTCATTCTTCCCCCTCTCTGAGCTCAACAAGGAAGGCAGGGGTCATCTCGGGGCCTCTGTGCATAGCCAGTCTTCCCCACAGGCCACTGCAGCCACAGTGACCAGGCCACCTCCTCCAAATCTTAGGTCTGCCCACTATGTCGCTTGTGTGCTAACCTCCAGCCCTACCCAGCTTCTTCCACTTTCTCCCAAAGGTGGTTTTCTTGTCTTTGCACATCCTGTTTTCTCTGACTAGCAGGCTTCTCTCCAGTGCCTCTGGCCAATACCAATTCACCCCATTAGATGTCACTTCATGCATTCAACAGATACCAAGCACTTAATAGGTACCAGGCCCTTGACCAGGCACTGGGGGATATAGCAGTGAGCAAAGAAAAACTCCTGCCTTCACTGAGCTTACATTTTAATTAGGGAGACAGAATATAAGCAAAATAAATTGTATAGTCTACTAGAAGATGATAAGGGGGAAAAAAGATGATAAGGGCTATGCAGAGAAATAAAGCAGGCAGGGAGTTGCAGGCAAGGGGGCGGGGGTGGATGTACCTGGAGATAGGAGTTGCAGTTTTAAGTAGGGTGATCAGGGAAGTCCTCACCCTGATCAAATGACATGTCTGCAAAGATGAAGGAGATGAGGGAGCAAGCCATGTAGGTCTGTGGGGGGAGGAAAGTGCCAAGCCTGAGGCAGGACCATGCCTGGCTTTTTCAAGGAACAGGGAGGAGACCAGTATGGCAAGAGCCAAATGCACAAGGCGGAGAATATTAGCAGACGGATTTAGAGAGGAAGTGGGGTCCCAAATGGTACTGGGCTTTGTAGGCCAGTAAGAGCTTAGTTACTCTGACTTTGGAGGGTTTTGAGTAGAGTGACATGATCGGATTTAGATTTTAAAAGGATCACTGGGTTGTCTCGAGAATGTAAGAGGATGACTGTAAGATGATGAGGACAGCAGCAAAGAGACCATTTAGAGGCTACTGAAATAATCCAGGTCACGGATGACCGCGTTTGAAGCAGGGAAGACATCTCTCTGACTCCGTCAGTTTAGGAGCACCCCGCGCCCCCTGCAGGAACTCTGTGACATAGCACCTCTCTCACTGTGGCAATTGTAGGCAATTTGTGTGCAATATCCACAACTGTCTTGTTTATCACCTTAAACACAGCACTTAACAGGGTGTCAGACACATTGTCTGCGCTGCATAAATATTTGTTGAGTGAGTTTAATCTGCTTGGCAGAGGTATGCTGAGTGAGGAACAGATCAACAATCATGGTTCACAGGACCCACCCTGGGCTCTGTTTTCTTGGGAGTTGCCAACAGATGCCTGTAATTCCAATCCATTTCTTAGCCAGAAAACTGACTGCAATGTCCATGGACTACAGACCTAGCCTTAAAGTCCCTCTCCAGCCCCTCTCCCACCTTTCCTCCTCTCAATGCACATTAAATGTCAGTCAAAACAAATTAATGATCAAATTAATGAACACCTCATGCATTTCTGATACCTCTGTCTGTAGTTTCCTCCCCTCATTTGTTTCCAACCAGGCAAATCATCACCTTCCAGGCCTAGCTTCAATGTCACCTCCTCTATGAAGCCTTCCTTGACTTCTCCAGGGTAACTCCAGTGTTCCACAGCACTGGGTTCCTATTTCTCTTTTAGAAACTGCAGTCCAGTGTCATGTGTGTTTATCCGAAACTCTTCTGAGTAAGTTTTACCCATCCATTCTTTTATTAAATAATTACTGATCACCTGTGGCAGGCACTATGCTTAGCAGTGCTGTGCACACAGAAACATACAACATAATTGCTTGCTTTATGAAATTTAGCTCAGTGGAATGATGACAAGAGATAATATGTTCATGCATGTTTTACCATGTATCGAGCACTATGATTAGCATTTTGCATCCATCTCTCGTTTAATCTTCACAATATTTGGTGAGAACACTAATACTGTTAACTATTTTACAAAGGGGGGATCTGCTCACTAGAATGTGAATTTCATGGGAGCAGAAAAATTGCCTCTTACATTCATTGCTCTCCCAGCGCTTGGACCATGACGGTGCTCTGTAAATAACAGTGGATGATGCGAGGAAGGGCCCAAGGGTACCCATCGCGTGAAGCAGAGCAAAGACGTGTCCAGCCCCACAGTGGGCTCCACGCTGCACCTAGAGCTTCCAGTTTAATCTCCAGGGCCCTGGCGGTATCGAATACAGCGCACGACCCGGTCAGTCTGGTGAAGGAATTGTTGGGTGGGCATATAGATGGGTGCAAACACCATTTGTTACGGGGAAGCCGGGAATCCTCACTTGGAGCCTAACATTTTTCGAGCATCATCTTCCTCCCCACCCTCCCCCAAGAAGAGGTCAGGAATCCACCGTTCCTGGAACCCCAGAGACCCACGTCCCGTCGACAACCCTTCGAGGCCCCCCACTTCCGGTTGTCACCCCTTCCCCAGGGGTCCCTGTTTCCTGGGGTCTCTTTCTACGCGGGTGCCCCACTTCCGGTCATCCCTCCCTCTCAGGGGCTCTCCCGGGGTACACGGGCTCACGGGCACTCACCGGCCCGGCTACGGGGCGGAGCGCGGGTCAATCGGCGGCGGGAGCCTCGTCCGGCAGCGCGCACAAAACCGACCCGCACTCCCTGCCCAGCCGGCCCGGCGGCTCGCGCCGGAAGTGACGTACGCAGAGCGTGGGAAGGCGGGGTCCCGCCCCCGTGAGTGCGCATGTGCGACCTCTCCTGGAAGGCCTGGTCTTGAGTCCCCACCTGGCGGCAGAAAGCGCACCACGGGTTCCTGAGCCTGGGGAGAGGCTGGCTGAGAGGCACCAGTTTCCGCGGCATAGGTGGGGTAGCTGAGGCCTCGAGAAGGAAGAGAAGGAGCTGCTGTTTTCCGAGAACATATTAACTATGTTATCTGGTGTATTACATCCCTTACCTCATTAAATTCTCAAACGGAATCCTGCTATTTTATGAAAGGGAAACGGAGTCAACTAATGAAGTATAGGGCTTCAAACCTAGATCTCGGGGTTAGCATTTCAGAATTCCAGAGCTGCCGCCAGGACTGGCTGCTCCAAAGGTTAAGACTACATACAGTCCAGGGACCGACATCTGTCTGTCTTTAGCCAAGTGATTTTGAGCGAGTCTCCATTCCTCCTTAGGCCTCCTTTCCCTCATTTGTAACATGATTCTTGTTCTGGAATCTTGATTCAGTAATTTGCTTCCTGCTTTGGTGTTCATGAAGTCTGTTTTAGAAAGTGGTAACCTCAAAAACATCTATTTCTGCTTTATTGACTATGCTAAAGCCTTTGACTGTGTGGATCACAATAAATTGTGGAAAATTCTGAAAGAGATGGGAATACCAGACCACCTGACCCACCTCTTGAGAAACCTATATGCAGGTCAGGAAGCAACAGTTAGAACTGGACATGGAACAACAGAATGGTTCCAAATAGGAAAAGGAGTACGTCAAGGCTGTATATTGTCACCCTGCTTATTTAACTTATATGCAGAGTAAGTACATCATGAGAACACTGGGCTGGAAGAAGCACAAGCTGGAATCAAGATTGCCAGGAGAAATATCAATAACCTCAGCTATGCAGGCGACACCGCCCTTATAGCAGAAAGTGAAGAGGAACTAAAAAGCCTCTTGATGAAAGTGAAAGAGGAGAGTGAAAAAGTTGGCTTAAAGCTCAACATTTTAAAACTAAGATCATGGCATCTGGTCCCATCACTTCATGGCAAATAGATGGGGAAACAGTGGAAACAGTGGCTGACTTTATTTTTCTGGGCTCCATAATCACTGCAGATGGTGATTGCAGCCATGAAATTAAAAGACGCTTACTCCTTGGAAGGAAAGTTATGACCAACCTAGATAGTATATTAAAAAGCAGAGACATTACTTTGCCAACAAAGGTCCGTCTAGTCAAGGCTATGGTTTTTCTAGTGGTCATGTATGGATGTGAGAGTTAGACTGTGAAGAAAGCTGAGCACCAAAGAATTGATACTTTTGAACTGTGGTGTTGGAGAAGACTCTTGAGATCCCTTGGGCTGCAAGGAGATCCAACCAGTCCATCCTAAAGGAGATCAGTCCTGGGTGTTCATTGGAAGGACAGATGCTGAAGCTGAAACTCCAGTACTTCGGCCACCTCATGTGAAGAGTTGACTCATTGGAAAAGACTCTGATGCTGGGAGGGATTGGGGGCAGTAGGAGAAGGGGATGACAGAGGATGAGATGGCTGAATTGCATCACCGACTTGATGGACATGAGTTTGAGTAAACTCCGGGAGTTGGTGATGGACAGAGAGGCCTGGCATGCTGCGATTCATGGGGTCGCAAAGAGTCGGACACGACTGAGTGACTGAACTGAACTGAACTGAACCTCAAAAAGGCTTTACTAGCCTCTGACCCCAGTCCATTAAAACCCTCAGCACTCTCCACCTCCCCGCCCATATATTTTGTACAGTTTTTGAGACAATATCCTAGGTCCCTCTTTCAAGCAGAGTAATACTAATGTCTTGGTAAAGGCAGTGAAACACTTTTTGGAGAGAAATTATGTGGTCCAGGAGGACTCAAGAGCCCAAAGCAGTATCCAGGAGATGGCTTTAAACAACCTAGCCCCTTTCTTACCCCTGGAGCAAGAGGAATCCCAGAGAGATGGGAACTGACATAGGTAGGCCAGAAGAACACAGAAGTTTCTGCTAGATGTTAAATGGGCTGGGGGCAGGGCGCAAGGATCTTGGGAGTTAGGAGTTTTCATTCCTACTCTGACTACCACTTCTAGGATAAAGTACAGAAGGCTCAATTAAAGTTGAGTTTCATACAAACAAGAATTTTTTTAAATATGCAATTTTGAGGGTGTACTTATACTAAAAATTGTCCATCAGAAATTCACATTTCACTGGGCATCCTGTGTTTTTTGGGGTTTTTTTAATTTAAAAAAAATATTTTTTTGGCCACTCCACACGGCTTGTGGGTTTTTAGTTCCCTGCGCATTTATGTTCAGCTACTTCAGTCGTGTCTGACTCTATGAGATGCTATGGACTTCAGGCTACCACAAACCTCTGGTAAACCCTCCATTGGCTTCTCCAGGCAAAAATACTAGAGTGGGTTGCCTTGCACTTCTCCATCTGGAGATCAAACCTGTGTCCCGTGGGTCTCCTGCATTACAGGTGGATTCTTTACCACTGAGCCACCAGGGAAGCCCCTTAGTTCCCCTACCACTCAGCAATAAGAGCATGGCGTCCCAACCACTGGACTGCCAGGGAATTGCTGCGTGTCCTGTGTTTTTGTTTGCTTTTTTCCCAAATCTATGTTTTAGTTTACTATTTGCTATTAAAAAAATTATTACAAACTTAGTAATAATTGAAACAACAATTGAAAGGCTTGAAACAACACAAGTGTATTCCCTTATAGTTCTGCAGGTCAGAGAGTCTAAAGTCAAGGTGTTGTCAGGGTTGTATTCTCTCCGGTGACTTCGCCTGGGGTTGGGAGAGGGGGTTGGGTGAGGGGGTTGGGGGGATGGGGATGGGAATGCATCTTCTTGCCTCTTTAGCTTCCAGAGGCTGCTAGCATTCCAGAGCTCACGGTCTCTCCCTCGAATCACTTCAACCTTTACTTCTGGTGTCACATCTACGGCTGACTCTGATCTTTCTGCCTGCCTCTTTAAAAATATTAAAACAATTTTTTCTTCTGATAAGAACATTTAACATGTTATCTACCTACTTAACCAATTTTTACATGTGTGTGTACACACGTGTGAGCTCAATCGTGTCTGAATCTTTGTGATGTGAACCCATGTACTATAGCCCATCAGGCTCCTCTGCCCATGGAATTTTCCAGATAAGAATACTGGAGTGGGTTGCCTTTTCCTACTCCAGAAAATCTTCCCATTCCAGGGACTGAAGCTGCATCTCTTGCAGCTCCTGCATTGGCAGGCAGATTCTTGACCACAGTGCCACCTGGAAAGCCCCATATACTACATCTGGGCAAGATTGAAGGCAGGAGGAGAAGGGGATGACAGAGGATGAGATGGTTGGATGGCATCACCGACTCGATAGACATGAGTTTGAGCAAGCTCTGGGAGCTGGCAATGGACAGGGAAGCCTGATGTGCTGCAGTCCATGGGGTCACAAAGAGTCAGACACGACTGAGCAACTGAACTGATAGATGCGATGTCTCCCATCTCAAGATCCTTAATCACATCTGCAAAGTTCCTTTTACCATATTAGGTAAGATATTCACAGGTTCCAGAGACTAGCACAAGTGCATCTTTACGGGGGCCAATATTCAGCCTATCACAGTCTGGCATCCTTATTCCCAGCTGTGTGACTTTGGCCAAGTCAATCAAATTTCCAAAGGCTCTGATTCCTCGTGGGCAAAATGCTGATTAAATAAGTTCATGAGAGGAAACACCTTGCCCCATGCTAGGCAAACAGTAAGTGTTTTTTTTTTTTACAAATAGCAGCTCTTGTGACAAAGGGCAAGGGATGACCCTGTCCAAACCATGTTGTACTAGGCATTTAGGATAAATCCCTCTCCTCAGCCCACACCATGGTGGTAGCGAGTCCAGGTTGCCATCCCAGATACTGGTAGCAGGAGGAGAGACGTGCAGGTCTAGATGTGTGGGTGCTTAGTCGCTCAGTCCTGTCCCACTCTTGCCTCTTCTGCCTCCTCCTTCTCCTGCCTCTTTATTTTTACAAGATGGGAAACAGGCTTAGAGAAGGAGAAGAAGTTGCCTGTGGCCACAAATGATGAGTTTGTGGTTGAGTTGGGAATTGAGCTTCTGTCTTCTAAGTTTCTGCCTTGGACCTTCAGAAGTAATGGACTTTGAGCTACTACTCCTTGAAAAGGTCCATTTCTTCGTGTGTGAAATGATAGGTGGTGTCCCTTATGTAGGGGGTTCTTGGGAGACTTCAGTGGATGGCATATGCAGAATTCTGATGCATTGAGTCATGCAATATCTGTTGATTGGTAATGACCACCCCACTCGAGAACAGAAAGATCACTGGAGGGAGGACAGCTTGCCCTGCGTCTCGGTTTAAATGACTCTAAATATCCTGCCCTCTAAGCCTCCGCCAGTCTCTGAAGAAAAAAGCTGGACCTTGAATGTATGCTGGAGGAGCCTGTCTGTTTTCAAGGCACGTGATTCTAAGCTCAGACGATCTAGAACCAGCCTCAGCATTTTTTTGTAATAACCTAAATTCTGTTGTTGTTGTTTAGTCACTAAGTTGTGTCCTAATCTTTGCGACCTCTGTGACCCCATGGACTGTAGCCCGCCAGGGACCCTCCGTCCATGGGATTTCCCAGGTCAGAATACTGGAGTATGTTGCCATTTCCTTCTCCAGGGGATCTTTGCAACCCACATCTCCCTTTGGGATCTTCAAACCCATGTCTCCTGCATTGGCTGGTGGATTCTTTACCACTGAGCCACCATGGAAACCCTCAACCTAAATTCTGATTTTTTTAAAATATTTATTAATTTGGTGGCACTGGATCTCAGTTGCAGCACGCAAGATCTTCGATCTTTGCTGCAGCACGTAGGATCTTTAGTTGTGGCATATGAACACTGAGTCGCAGCTTGTAGAATCTAGTTCCCTAAACCAGGGAGCCAACCCAGGTCCCCTGCATTGGGAGTGTGGAGTCTTAGCCCCTGGACCACCAGCAAAGTCCCTTCTCTGAATTCTTGAAATAGCCGCCAGGTCTTCCAGGACAGGTCGTGTGCTGGAGAGAAACTATTGGGAAGGAAATAAAAAAAGAGCAGAAGAACTAGATGAAGGTAGGGATGGGAAATGGAGCCAGAAAACCTCAGAGAACAGGCTATAGTTTTTATTAACAATATGCATAAAGCATATTTATATGTGTGTGTATATACATACAGGGGCTTCCCAGGTGACTGGTAAAGAGTCTGTTTGCCAAGGCAGGAGACATGGGTTTGATCCCTGGGTTGGGAGGATCCCCTGGAGAAAGAATGGCAACCCACTCCAGTATTCTTGCCTGGAAAATCCCATGGACAGAGGAGCCTGGTGGGCTGTAGCCATGGGGTTTCAAAAAGAGTTGGACACGACTTAGTGACTAAACAAACAACAATAGTATACATACATAAAATATACATATGTATGTACACGTATCCATATAAATATTTGTATATATCAAATATTTAGTTCTAGCCACTAAAATGGCACAGAAACAATGACTAATCTAGTGGTACCTACCACTCAGATTCTAGTCTTGAAATCCTATTTTCTATTTTAAAAAATATAAGGACCTCCTAGAGAAACTGCTGATTCCAGATAAGCAGCAGGAAATATGCAAGATAAGCCTGGAATGTCTTGTCGTATCAGATAATAAGGAAGCTATCAAAGGCCCTAGGGTCACATCCAAAGGACTTGGAAACCAACCTGAAGATGGGACAATTTCAGCTGCAACAAAGACAATACTTGCCATTGATTGAAACATCAAATATGCTTCAGTCCCTGAGTTCATAATATTTGGCAAAAACACTAATTGCTTATCTTCTGAGGATGGCACTGAAAAAGTATATTGCCTTTCCAATATGAATTCTACCACCAAGTAACCTATTAATAGGTTAAGAAAAGCATTTTCTTGTGAAATTATTACTTCTAATACATGAAAACTAAATGATACACAATATTGCCATTTTGCAACCTGTAATATATTAATATGTTTAGCCATTCTTCACAATAGCAGCTAACATCAAGAAAAGAGCAAAGCTCCAGCCAGGTGCATGCTTCTTGTTAAAAGAACACAGAACCACTTATAATCATGCCAATGGGATGGAGCCTGGGTCTGATCCAGCGGCTAATTTGCAGGAAATGAAGAGATCAAAGGGCCATGTTGAGCTGTACTGTGAGGATGCAATTGACAAAATCCAGACTTTGAGAAACTCTCCAGGTCAAGCAGCCTCAATTCTTCAACAGATAAACTGCAAGGGAAAGAAAGAGATATAAAGGAAAACTCTGAATTATAAGAGGCTTACAAGACATATCAAAATTTTTTTTTAAATGGGCAAAACTATACTGTCTAGGGACACACACTTGGATGTTTAAACCATTAAGAAATGCAAGGATATAATTACTATTAGAGTCAGGTAAGTGGCTACTTGGTGGGGGAGGGGCTATGATTAGGATGTGGTAGACAGAGGGGCCTCTGGGGCGGCTGCAGAGTTCTGTTTTGTGACCTGGGTGGTGCTTTCAAGGGCATTTTCCTTGTGATAATTCACTAAGATACAAAATTAATTTGCATGATTATCTTCATCTGTAGTTTGTTTTTACAATAGAAAGTTTTGGGAAAATGAAAGTAGAAGCACCCACCTCACTGCGTGTTAATGATGTATGTACAAATACACATCTCTGAATATATGGCTTCTGGGAGCACCAGGTGCATAGAAGGTGCTCACAAAATATGAGTTCCCATCCCTGTTAATCCTGTCAGACACCCTTACCGGTGTGATTTCAGTGTCACGTTTAACTTGTGTGACTAATCAAGGAGAGTTAAGGCTTATTAAGTGATTATTATATGCCAGGCACTGCTCCCAGCATATTGAATCTAACTAAATCCTCATAACCCTATTCTTATTATTCCCATTTTACAGAGAAGAAAACTGAGACTCAGAAAGGTTTTCGTGGCCACACAGAACGTGATGGAGCAGCCTGATTTTGAACCCAGGCAGCCCGGCTCCCCCGTGGCTCTCGTCCACTGTATGTACAACTTACTGTTTTCTGTTTGGTGTTCAGTGCCCCCATTTGTGATAATAATTCCCCCTTATTGAGTGTCTGCCAATGTCTGTGCCATCCCCTGACACTCATTACCTGAATCTCACAACAGTCCTGGGAGGTGGAGAAGCTTGTTAACCTGCACTTCGCAGATGGGAACTCAGAGCCGTGAAGGAACTTACCTGAAGGAAATGTCAGGGATTTGAATTGTGGATGGGGTGGGTTCATACTCTTTGGCCCTGTGATTCTGAAGAACAAAATGTTCCCTGCTCTTAACCAGATGCTCACCTGATAGATCTGACCCAGTGTAAGGTCATGGGTTGCTCAACCAGCCGTCCAGAGCCTGACTTGGCCTGACGAGTGTCCAGACCAAGGCTGGGAGAAGTCAGGGGCTTGGCAGGTGCCAGGCATACCTGACCCCATGAGGGGGTCATACAGAGCTTGTGATCCATGGCTCCGGTGAGCCAGAGATTTGTTTCTCTGCGTGCCGAACTTTTGCTCCTAAGAGCCTTAGAATCAGGGCCCAACATAGAGCTGGTCAGCTCTCTGACTTGAGATGAAGACATGGCATGGGCTGTTGTGTGGATTTCTCAGAAGTGGTGAGAGCCCAGCTGTGTTTTTCTGGTCACACATTGACTTTCTAACCTGAGTCAGCATGACTGCATGGAGGCGTGGGCAGCCAGGCTGAAGCACTTCCCAGGCAGGGCCTGGAATGGTGAGGAGACCAGAGGGGCGTGAGACATCACACCCCCTCCCCACCAGCACCAGCCGAAGAGCCTGCCCAGCCCAGCTCATTGTAGTGTTTTATAAGATACCTTTTATTACCAATTGGGCTTACCTCGTGGCTCAGCGGCAAAGAATCCGCCTGCAGTGCAGGTTCAATCCCTGGGTTGGGAAGATCCCCTGGAGAAGGAAATGGCAACCCACTCCAGTATTCTAGCCTGGAGAATCCCATGGACAGAGGAGCCTGGCGGGCTACAGTCCATAGGGTCACAAAGGGTTGGACACAACTGAAGTGACTTAGCATGTGTGCGTGTATTATTATCAGTTATTACTTTTATTATTCCTTCTTTTAACAATTTTATCTTTTTATTTTATTTTTTCATGTTTTGGCTGTGCCACACAGCATGTGGGATCTTAGTTTCCTAACTAGGGATGGAACCTTTGTCCCCTGCAGTGGAAGCACAGAAGCTTAACTGCTAGACCGCCAGAGAAGTCTGAGACACGCTTTTGCGATGGGGCCACCTTGCTAGTCCTGAGCCAGGTCCTTCGTTACAAGACGTGTGGACCCCCAATCAGACTGACCTAGGTTCAAAACCCGGCACAATCATATGAACTGCTGGGCAACCTTGACCAGTATCTGGCTACTACAACTTAGTTTTCTCATCTGTAAAATGAAAGAAGACAATCACCCACCTCAGAGGGCTTTATAAGGATCAAACACACACAGACACCAAGAATGGTGCCTGGCATCATCAATGCCACTATCATTATTCTTCCAGGCTAACTGCACTGACTCAGTGCAAAGGGGGCAGTTGTTACCATCTAGTTGAGGATGCTGTGTCCTGTGATAAGTCACCAGGCCATAGAGTGGCTGGGGTTCACTTGTAATAAAATAGCCACCTTTTTTTTTTTCATGTATCTTTATTAGTTGGAGGCTAATTACTTACAATATTGTAGTGGTTTTTGCCATACATTGACATGAATCAGCCATGGAGTTACATGTATTCCCCATCCTGATCCCCCCTCCCACCTCCCTCTCCACCCGATTCCTCTGGATCTCCCCAGTGCACCAGGCCCGAGCACTTGTCTCATGCATCCAGCCTGGGCTGGTGATCTGTTTCACCCTAGATAATATACATGTTTCGATGCTGTTCTCTCGAAACATCCTGCCCTCACCTTCTCCCACAGAGTCCCAAAGTCTGTTCTGTACATCTGTGTCTCTTTTTCTGTTTTGCATATAGGGTTATCGTTACCATCTTTCTAAATTCCATATATATGCATTAGTATACTGTATTGGTCTTTATCTTTCTGGCTTACTTCACTCTGTATGATGGTCTCCAGTTTCATCCATCTCATTAGAACTGATTCAAATGAATTCTTTTTAATGGCTGAGTAATAGTCCATGGTGTATATGTACCATAGCTTCCTTATCCATTCGTCTGCTGATGGGCATCTAGGTTGCTTCCATGTCCTAAATAGCCACCTTTTACGAAGCATTTACTGTGTGCTTATCTCTGTTTGTGCCATTTCGCTATGTCTTCATTACCTTTCCAACTTACTTTACTGATCTGCTGTGCTCAGTCATATCTGATTCTTTTGTGACCCTATGGACTATAGTTCCCCAGGCTCCTTCTGTCCATGGGGGTTTTCAGGCAAGGATACTGGAGTGGGTTGCCATTTCTTTCTCTAAGGGATCTTCCCGACCCAGGGATCAAACCCTCGTCTCCCACGTCTCTTGCATTGTAAGCGGATTCTTTACTGCTAAGCCACCTTTCAAAGATGACATGATTATCTCCACTTTATACGTGAGAAAAGGGAGGTTCAGAAGTCTGAGAAACTGTCTGTGGGGTCCATAGGTTAAAAAATAAAAAACTAGTACATCTAGAATGGCTAAAATTGAAAAGACTGACTCTAGCACCTGTAACTTTCATACACTGCTGTCAGAAATGCAAGATGGTACAATTACTTTGGAAAATAGTTTTCAGAAGTTTCTTAAAAAGTTAAATATGGGACTTCCCTGGTGGTCCAGTGGCTCAGGCTCCACGCTGCCAAGGCAGGGGGCCCAGGTTCAATTCCTGGTCAGGGAACTAGGTCCTTCATGCCATAACCAAGAAATTCACATGCTGCAACTGTGTTTGCATCCACAACTAAAAAAGATCCTGTGTGCCACAACTAAGACCTGGAACAGTCAAATAAATACATTTTTTAAAAAGTTAAACATACACTTATTAATATATGAACCAGCAATTGATGGCTCAGTGCGTAAAGAATCGAACTTGCAATGCAGGAGACACAGGAGATGTGGGTTCGATCCCTGGGTCAGGAAGATCACCTGAAGAAGGAAAAGGCAACCCAATCCAGTATTTCTACCTGGAGAATCCCATGGACAGAGGAGCTTGGCGGGCTACAGTCCATGGGATCACAAAGAATCAGACATGACTGAAGCGACTTAGCATGCACAGCAAACATACTCCTAGGTTTATTTACCCAAGAGTAATGAAAGCATTTGGGTAATAAAAAATGTGTACATGAATGTTCTTAACAGCTTTATTTATAATAGCCAAAAAAACTGGGGAAAAAGTGCTCATCCGCAGGAGGATAGGATAAACAAACTGAGATATATGTATTACTATATATATATGTATGTATATACATATCACAGAGTAGATACGTATGAGTGCATGCACGTTAAATCGCTTCAGTCGTGTCTGACTCTTTGTGACTCTGTGGACAGTAGCCCGCCAGGTTCCTCTGTCCCTGGAATTCTCTAAGCAAGAATACTGGCATGGATCGCCATGCCCTCCTCCAGGGAATCTTCCCGACCCAAGGAACAAACCTATGCATCTCCTATATTGCAGACAGATTATTTACCCTCTGAGCTACCTGTGAAGCACATACATATCAATAGCTTCTTTTTATTGCTAATATTTATATATTATATATTTATATATTATATTAATATATATTATTATATAGTATATTATATATTCTATTTTATTTTATTATATATAATATATATTTATTGCTAATATACATTAGCAATAAAAAGAAGCTATTGATATGTAAGCAATATGGATGAATCTCAAAATAGAATGAAAGAAGTCAGACAGAAAAGTACAAATTGTATGATGTCATTTCTGTAAAATTCCAGAGAATTTAAAGCAATCCACAGTGAAAGAAAGTCATCTATGGTGACCATGGTTGCCTGAGAATGGGGATGTGATGAGAAGCCAGCTTATAAGGAGGCCTGAGGAAACTTCTGGTGGGATGGAAATGTTCATCATCTTGATTGTGGTGATGAGTTCGTGGGTACATACATATATCAATACTCATCAAATTACATGATTTAAATAGGTATCATGTATTGTCTATCAGTCATACTTCAGTAATGCTGTTTGTTTCATTTTAAACTGAGAGTGGCACAGTTAGGACTTGAACCCCTGTATGTCTGGGATGAAATCACTCAAGAGCTGAGAAGTTGTTAAAAGGCCTCCTTTCTGGGCTGGATTCATAGAATCAGTCCAGATGGTACCACCTCCAGAAAGCCTTGTTATTCCCTCTAAGAACTGTGGCTTTTGGAAACTGTATCCCCGGTGGACTTGGCCCATTCTGCCCTCCTCCCTGCCTTTAGGGTTTGTCAGTGGCTCCTTTTCTCCTCCTGGGAATCTTCCCTTGGGTCCTCCCCACTATTGTCCTCCTGGTCGAGAGCCCAGCGCCAGAATCAAACGGACCTGGGTTTGAACCGCAGCTTGGCCATTTACACCAGCTGTCTGACTTTGGAGTTTGTTTCCCTCTTTGACCTTCAGCTTCCTCATCTGAATAATAATAGAAGCTACCTGGAGTCTTGTGCCTGCAGTCCTTGGGGTCACAAAGAGTCAGACACAACCGAGTGACTGAACAACAGCCTCAAGATTGCCTCAAGGATCAAATGAGAGATAGTTCGTGTTAAACAATTAGGATAGGGCCCAGTGTGTAATAAAGCACTCAATAAATGTTAACTATTATTGATCTTCACCTGGGCAGTGGCTGCTGACTGTTTAAGTTTCTCAGCCTTTGAATCAAGTACATACCGCCCCAGCCATATTTATTGACATGGAAAGATGCCCAAAGTGTACTCTTGAGAGGAAAAAAGCAGGCTAGAAAACAATATACGCCTCACAGTTCATTTTAAGATTAAGGGGAGAAATGGATGTATATCTCTCAGCATGGTGCCTGCACAGGTGATGAGCTCACTGAAAGTTGTGATTATTATTAAAGTGAAA